TTTTTAATATACTGCATTGTTTTCTCTGTGGCAGCATCAGCACAACTTTGTCAAGGAGAAAAAACACATTGGTGGTAACAGTAGTACTTGAGTATTACCTTCTGTTTCGGTTAGCACAGCAAGAAGCCCGAAACATTACAATTCAGGGAAAAGAGGAGGTTCAGCCAAAGCTCAGAGCCCTCTCTGAATAAGTTTTTGGGGTTTTGTTTCTCCAAAACCCAAGTATTCTGATGAGTTTGGCTAAATTTGCAAGCACATAAGTACATTTGAGGCCTTTTGTTTAGTTTTATGTTCGCACATGGGAGTCAGCTTGAGAGTTGAGGTGCCAGATCTGCTTGTTACGTTGCAGTTTAGTGCCTGCATGTTGCTGAAAGTTGTTTGGCTTTGAGAGGGTCAAGATTGGTGTGCAACAATTCACAAGGGTGGAGGAGCCGTGCTTGGAAGTATGTATGGAATTGAAAATGGCTGGGGATGCTTGCTGGGTGTGAACTGTTCTAGCTGAAATTTGGGAAGGGCCTTGTGCAGCTCTTCATCAGTGCCTCTTCTCCATTTCCATGGGAACAGATGGGCTGTTGTTGATAAGAGATCCATTATCAAACTAGGAAATTGACGGGCGGCAGTTGAGCCACTATTGCTGTAAAACAGGGCTGACTACAGACTGAGGACATCACATGGCAGTATGTGTTCAAATGTAGTGGCTAAAAATATCCTTCCTTCTTCCTCCTCTCAGGCACAGATGCCCCAGTGTGAAAGGAAGAGTCACTCTGGCATAGACTTGATTAGATCTATAGCAAACAAGGGGATTGGCTGCAAAGGAATGCTTTATGGTTTGACCTATATAAAGAGCAGCAGTTTTCAACAGTTGTTGAGATAAGGAAGAGTTTGCACCTTTTAGATTTTTTTGCAGACTCTGAAGGCTGTCTCAGTTTCATTTTGTTGCTTAATTTATCTGTATTTATTTGTACTTGGGGAAATTTTCAAAGCAAAGTCCAGTGATACATGCAGTACTTAGACTAAATTTTATAGCTTTGGTAATTCTGGGAAAATCTTACCATAGTTCAATTAAGAATCTTCATTTTTCATAGCAGCATAGCTCTGGTTTTTAAGTATCCAGATGATAAATTTTAATCTTAATTATTATCTGGAAATCACTTGGAGGCCAGTTGGAGCTATGAAACAGATTTACTGGACATTTTTCTTAAAATGTTTTGCAGCAGAATGGTTTAATTACTTAAAGTCAGTTCTTCATGATTTAAAAGAAAAGAGACCAATGTAGATGTAAATGTTGAAGTTGGACACGCCAGTGCAGAGAGTTCTTACCTGTGTTCCCAACTTACTTTGTATTTCATTAATGGCTGTTAGTGGCATAAGGCTTTTTTGAAAGTTGAAATTTTACATGACTATTCTGCCATAATAATAGCTACATAACTTCATAGCAGACACCAGAATTCCAGCCTTGTGCACACAACTGCAAAGTTGTTCTGAATTTAAGGTACTTCAGTACAAGTAATTTTTGCTTTACTAAGCATTGGGAGCAAACTCTAGCGGTGTCTATTTGAGAGACAGTCAGAAAAAAATTATTTTGTAGATATCTGTGTTGCAGAGGTGACTCCTCTTGAAATGATACGTGAACATGATTGGGAGCAAACTCTAGCGATGTCTATTTGAGAGACAGTCAGAAAAAATTATTTTGTAGATATCTGTGTTGCGGAGGTGACTCCTCTTGAAATGATACGTGAACATGGAGCTTTGTAAAGAAAACAGTACATTCTGTTGCTTCTGCAAGAGTGCATGCTGAAAGACCCGGAAAGGGGAAAACAGGGGTGTTTACAGGGTGACTCTGTGTGTATAAGCTCTCTGGTATATAATACAGGGCATGGATAGTTTGGCTGTCTGCCAGGGTGTGAATGGAGCTGTGACAGCTAGTTAAAATGATCCTAGAAAGGACAACCGGCTATGAAGATACGTCAGTCTGGGTGTGAAGCAGGAAAAAGTCCTTGGAGCAAAGAAAGGCCCTGAAGGGGGGGAGCTGTGGAGGATCCATTATTATAGCAGAAGTCCCCCGAACAGGTTGTACATGCATATGTGTAGGCAGTTCACCTTACTATGCCTTTTATCCAGCTATTTTTTTTTTTTTTCCCCGGTCACAAAGCTTAATGCATGCCTCTGCAATGCTCCCTCACTGGCATTTGGCTTCAGGCCAAGCATTAATGACTACCCCAAGCCCAGTGTGATTTGGCTACTCCAAATCTATTAGCATATCTTCAGAGCAAGATAAAACTCATTAAAATAATTTACATTTGGGAATTAGAATTTCTGATAATTTTTAATACCTACAATTTACCCATTTTTTTTTGTTCTTGGAAAAAGAACAGACTGCCATATCCCTTAACTGCTCTCTGATGGTAATAAAATGAGTTTGTAGTACACAGTCTTATCAAAGGTTTGATCTGTGCTATCTTCGATAAAGGAATGCACACTACTGCATAAGATATGGCTTATTAGAAATCACATCACAATGTGTTATGTTTGTGTTCTATTGTATTGTAAATGACTCTAGTGATGGCAGCTGAGGTTTTAACAACCAAACTTCCTGGTCGTTCAAGCTATGTGCCAAAATCTTTGCATGAGTTGTAGATCTGGGCTTCAACCTGTGCCCTCTGTCTCCCTAGTCTCTATGCAATTCACTTTTTTACATACCTATTTTTAATCTCCATCTTCCATGCTCAGTATCCCAGAGCTGCCTGCTGGTGTCATCTACCTATATTTCATATCCTGGGGTTGAATCAGTTTCTGCACAGAACGCTGTCTCGCAGCCAGTACAGTGGTTGTGAGAGATGTGTACGGTTTTCTTGCTTAAAGGCAATTCAGCAGACATCAGCTGATCTGCGTCAACTCTCCATGTGCAAGCTTTTACCTCAGAGCCTGTAACAGAGCCACTCTTGGAACTGCTCATGACCTGCGGTCAGATTATCCTTGCTAAATGACTGAACTGTCATGCATGCTGAAACAATGCTTATAAATAAATAAATGGAAGCCCACAAGTAGTAACTGCACAAAAGATAGCTTGAATATTTTTATCCATATAAAAGTACTCAGGATCTTTTAAGTATTAAAGTCTCTTCAACTGAAAATATCCTGAAATGGGCTGTAAAGGTGCCTGTCTTTGCTTACTTGAAGTTCTGTAGATGTGGCCCTGCTGCTGTGCTAGTTCCCCAGTGGAAGTGCTGGCACCTGGGGCATGTACATCCTACTGTCAGCCTCTTGGGTTGGGAGTTAAGGAACAGGCAGGTAACTACTACCCACTGTAATTCACTGAGGAGAGTCAGATTCTGTTCTCTTTTTGCTTTACTGGACTTCACTTTAGTAGGTGTTGAGGTTTTTCTCTTTTATGTGCAGCAGTCCACAATGAGGCAGATTAGGGTGTTGATAGGTCACGTGTTTTTGAAAGGCAGCAAACATTGATCTTTAGAGTTTAATTTTCTGAAGCACTCCTATCAGCTGTAAGAATTGTAAGGTCTGCACTTGCAAATTCCTCTCTGCTTTTCCTTTTTTTTTATTTCCTTTCATCACTCTTCCAGAAAAGAAACGTAGTGAGATAACAAAAAAAAAAAAAAAAAAGTTGAAAATGGCAATAATTGCTTATGAAGATTTTGGGGTTTTGGTGGATATCTTCATAACTGCGTGTGTACGTAGTATGTGATCTCTGGATCTGTGTTCATATTGTCTTTCACTTTGCATTTCCTCTTCTTTCCACATTCAGGCAATGCTAATCATGTGATACTTTGGTGACTTTAGGCTTTAAGTATATGTCTATCCCTTTTTAAAAAAAAAACCTCAGACCCAGCTTTTTATTGGCCATTGTCGCAAAGTTAAAGAACCTCAGAAAGCTGAGAAAGAATGAAAGTGCTCAGGAAAAAGTGTTTTGATGCTTAATTTTAAAAGGGGGCCAGGTTCTGTGTGATGTTTACTTGCAACACCAACCAAAATCTTTTTGAGGAAAGGTAGTTTCAAACTATAGCATGGTTTTATTTACGGAACGTAATACTACTTTATTTGAGAGACTACTTTCAGTCAGCACATCAGGCTTGCCTATTGCACTGTACCAGTTGACAGAAATTCAGTGAAAAATAAAGCACCAAAGTTTTTAGAGCAAGTATGCTTTGAACTATCAGTTTGTCCTTTTTTAAGCTACGTATTCATGTGGCTCCTGATCTTCATTAATTTTAGAATAAAGTTATATTAAGAAAAGTAATTTTTAAATAAATAAAAAAAGAAACTTTGTTCATCTATGTTTGCTGTTTGTATGTGTTTAACTTTATTAACATAAAAAATGGTCAACAGGCAAGTCGCTGTTTCTGCTGTCCATATTAACATGATTTTAACTTGTATTGGCAAAACCACTGAAGCTGCCAGTTGTATTTGTGGCTGGGCCTGTGCTATTGTTGTCATGAGGGAAGTTTTTTTATAAATTTCTCCATAATATAGATGTGACCTAGAATCTTTAACTTATCCAGTGTGCAACCAGTGCAAATGCAGAAAAGCTGGATGAAATTGTGTTTATGCTGAAAGCATCAGGTTTGTCAGCTGAATTCAGGAAAAAGTGATCATTAGAAGTGATAAAGAATCAGGATTTCTTGGCTTGCAGGTTTTGGACAGAATTTCTTGGTGATGACAGCCAACTTAATCTTTGGCACAGATCTTGGTCTAGTTATGTTGTTAAAAGTACCTGTGCACTTACAGTGACTTTCTTACTAAATTATGAGGGTTTGGCACTAAAATACTTTGGCTATTTTAAACTGCTTGTCCAGCTTTTTGCTCACCACAGTTCAGAACACTCATGAGGTGCAGTGGAGCAGCATGACTAGCACCATTTTTATAGGTTCATCTTACAAAAACAGTCTGTCTTTGAAACAAGAATGGGAAGGGAAGAATAAGCTAGTACCTCCATCATTTTACTGTATCTTGAAATAAGCTTATTTTTTGTTTGCTTCCTTCAGGTTTTGAATGAAGAATGTGATCAGAATTGGTACAAGGCAGAACTCAATGGAAAAGATGGCTTCATTCCCAAGAACTACATAGAAATGAAACCACATCCGTAAGTAGGGCTTTGGTGATGGGCTCCCCTGATCAATCTTCTGCATGCCCTCTCAAACACAAGGAAGGTTTTCTGCTGAATACTTTGCAAAGCGTACCTTACCAGATCTACCAAAATGTATGGATAGATAAAGGATGGCTATTGAGTTGTATCTCTGGCTGTAGTGTTTACAGTAACTCATTTCACAGCTAACTATATAGGAGGGTATTTTTGGAAGCTTTTCTGGTGGTTGCTCTGGTGTTTTGCTGTAGGGTCAGACAGACTGACCTTGGACGCAGCAGGCATAAACCAGCAGAAAACTAGTTAGCAGAGAGTTGTCACCACCACTGCCCCAGGAAAAAGAGTGATCATGTTCCTATGATGATTCTCTAATTTACCTAGTGTAGCACATAAAAGTAAAAATTGTGGCATTCAGAGTTCACCAAAAAGATATTTAAGGATATTTGGAGCTGCACTCTTAGTATGTCTATGTCACATCTTGAGTATAGAATCATTGAATAATTTAGGTCAGACAGGACCTCTAATGTTCATCTGGTCCAACACCATCTTCACAAAAGAGGCCAACCCCAAACAAGTGTGTACTGTTATGCAAGTATAGTTGCATTGACTTGCAGCTCCAGAGAACTGGATTTGAGTAACTACTTTGAACATTTGGGGGTTGGACTAGATGATCTCCTGAGGTCCCTTCCAACCCTTACGATTCTGTGATTCTGTGATTTCCTCTTAGATACAAAGAATCTGGCATATGAAAATAGTAGCATTTCATGATTGGGTATGTTTTTTGTGTCAGTTCATGTATTTCTGCTGTCTTCTACTAAACTCCATTTCTGCCAACCTTTGAGATCCTTCAACATCTGAACAAGAAAACAGCAAGCTCTAGGTAACAGATTCAAAGGGGAGAAAAGGTTTAGGGAGGAGCAGCAAAACCTGTAATCAGGGTTTTTACAAGGAACTGTAGGGGTTCAGTTGCCCACAAAAACTGATGATTGATTTGTGAATTGTTGGCTGGAATTATATAATGAAGATACTGCAGTTAAATCCAATCAAGAATTATTTTTCTAAGGGCTCTTTTGAAGTAGCAGAAGGAAGCTTTTCAGGGATTACGTCCCAAGAAGGAGAGGAGATATGCTGCTTTAGTGCAGCCAAGTGGGAAGTGAAGCAAGGATGCACAAGAAAATTCCAAAGTTGTTTAAAGCCTTGTCTGCTGCAGTGACATGTCTAGTTTACCCTGATCATTCTAGTCCACTGGGGATCACAAATGTACATTGCAATTTCTCTCTCATTGATTTGAATTATCATACATCTTCTCTTAACAGTTTTGCAGGCATTTGAGTTATACTGCAGTGATGTTTCCTATGATGATGATCAGTTTGTTTTCTAATCATCCATGGTATTTTGTTTTAGGCAGATAGAACTGTCAGTTTTTTACTTTTTGATATCAAAGGGGAATGAACAGTATCTCAGCCTGCAAGTGGGTGAATTCGGGAGTGTTTTTTAAGCATAGTTAATTTGACCTTTTCTGAAGATGTTTAAACTGCTGATGACAGCTGGATGGAGTTAGGTCCATGTGCCAGCAATGCTGGGAGTCTTAACTAGTGCATTGACAACCCTGGGAAATTATGCAAAAGTTTTTATAGTGTAATGTTAGCTGTAATACAGAGCTCTCTAAGTTGTCCAGCAGGTCATACAAAAAGCGAATTGCAAGCAGCTGACCAGGTTTGAGAAAAGGAACATTCTCTTTCTCACACTAGTATCAAACCATGTTGTGGAAGGTGACACAAGAGCTTTTCAAGAGGATTTGGAAAGAAAGCAACTGAAAACAGCTTTAAGTCCTGTCTTAGGATCTGAGACTTAAATCCTACAGCCCCATAGCTAGTCTAAAATTCAGTGGGTTTTCTTGCTTGTATTTTGCAAATCTGCCAGTTTGCTTTGTAACTACTAGCAAATGAAGCTGAAAGGAAAATGTGCCTCTCGGCCACCAGCTGAGTCACCTGGGTTCTGAAGGGTTAATCCGAATTGCCACATCAATTATAAGCATGATACTCAGAGAAGAGCTGCAGGAAACTCTGGGCAAGGGAGGCTTCCTGTGAAGGCACAGCAGTGCAGTTCAGTGGCAGGACTACCTTTTGCTCTTTAAGGAGGCAGGGGAAGAATTTGCCCTTTGTGAAACAGCCTGGATCAGACTCACAGTGTGTGTATCTCAAGTGTTTGTGTTCGTAATCAGCTTTTCTTGAAGATATTGCTGAAGTCGTGCTTTGCAGTATTGTAACTTGTGTGGAGGAAATCAGCCAAGCTAAATGGTCATGTGAAGTAAAGCCAAAAGAATTGCCAAACTGACTATTGAAATGAGTCTGAACACGATGTGAACTTTGTGTTGTACCGATCAGTGCATTTTCCTCTAGCTGTGCAGCATCAGCAGTAATGCCTGGATTTGGTTTTGCAGTGCTGACTGGATGAGGTTCACCTACAATACAAAGCTAGTTAGAGACAAGTGTTATCAAGCTTAGCCCTTCAGCAGGGAAGCTCTGGGAATGTTGTGGTCCATTTATTTGACCTAATTCTCTTGCATATGCTGTGATTGTTAATTTTTTTCCATCATTCTGTAGCAAAGATTCATATGTGCACAACACTTCTGATGCTTTACAAGTGTGTACTTAAGTAGACACTAGTCCTTCAGAATAACTTTTGTTTCTTTCATCTGTTGTAGCTCTTTCAGGCTTTCCTTCTATTTTAGAGATGGGTGAGGTTTTTTTTTTTTTTTAGATGAGGCTTTCATTTCCAAGTCACATGCAAGTAAATGAGAATTATTTAAGAATAAAACATAATTCAAACGCTTTGTAAACAAGAAGTATGGCATGATACCTAAAATCATAATATAAAGCTTGCTTTGTGTAACATTTGGCAGAGGCAAAATTCATTACTTCCTTACCTTTCTGACAATTGGGCCAAAAGCCCAGGAAACTAAATATTACCTTTGAATTCTGAAAGAGTTTCACATAATGGTTTCTCTTAGTGATTTCTGAAGGCAGCAGAGTACAGCGAGAGACAGGTAGGTGCTCCCTCTGCTGTCTCTGCCACCACCTCAGGTGCCAAGAAGCAGTGCAGATGCTAAATCAGGAGGAAAATACTAAATGCCATGAAGTTCTTTATCACTGGAAATAGGATGATTGTGGGAGAAAGCTTTTCCTTTCCATTCCAGGGGATAAAAAGTACACAACAAGACTTGCAAGCAAGTAAAACATGTCTAGGTGATCATGGAAACTGAGTTTGTAAACAAGATGTATAATTTTCAGTGCCAAAATGCTTTTCATAATGGAGTTGCGTAGCTAAATGGAGTGAATAATCCTTTTACAAGGGGGATGTCCTGGAGTTGTTTTATTGACTCTGTTGCATATAGTAGAAATGCATCTGCAGACGCACCATTGATATAATATAGGGATGTGGTTTTGTGTAGCCTCCCATGACGAGCAGATACCGAAGAACCAGTGAGAGGATTGAGGGCTGCCAGGAGCTGGAAAGTCTGGTAATCAAGTAATCGGGTCCTCCTGCTCCCCTAGAGATAGCTGCTTCTCAGAGAGGGAGATCTGGTGACTTTGTGATTTCATGAAAGCTTCAACTTCTCTTAAGAATGACTGTTTCAGGAAGGGTTCTGCAACTTCTGTCTTTTCTGCACCAAAACCTTCACTGTAGACAGTGAACTTTGTGAGTGGAGCTCTTGTTACTAAATGCTTTCCTCTAAGGTCAATCATCTCCGTGGTTATAGGCTGTGGTAAGTGCTTCTGTCCTGTGTGATCTGTTACTCGGAACTGAAAGCTGTACTTTTTGGTTGTGAAGATGGTTCTGCTTTTCCCACGCCATGTGACCTACCACCCAGCCCTTGTTTGTCTTTAATCTTGGATTAGTCTGGAAATGCAAATGTAAATGTGGGTGAGAATCCCGTGACCAGGGGCTATTGGTCAGTACTGATGATCTGGTTGCCTGAGGTGGATTCACCCTTGGTGTCATGGAGGTAGTCAGCCTGTGGCTTTGAGTTCTGTGTAGCTGTCAAGATTTTCAGGTGTGGTTTGATGGTGCAGCTATTTCATGTGACTGTTTATGTGAAAGCTGCTGGATTGTCCTGACTGTAGGAGAAAACAAGAAAATGGGCTACTGAAACAAGTACTATCAGCATCTTTCCTAGAACCAAATTGCATGCCCAGCTCAGCGCTCCTCTGCAATGAAGCACAGAGACCTTGAGGGAACTTCATCTCGCTTGGTCTGCATGTAACTCAACTCCTGGCACCTGCCTTAGCTTTCTGACACATGATACCTGTCTTTGACCACAGTGCTCTGGTAGGGGTCAGAAAGATTGGACTCTGGGCTGCAGGAACAACCAGCTGCTGAAGTAGTCCTGTCTTACCACCTGATCTAAAAGAGACTAGAAATGGGTTTTGACACGAAATGCACTTTCCGTTTACGCAGGATGGGTCAATCCATCTATGGTCAATCCATAGACAAGATCTTCTTTCTACAGCTGTAATGTTTCAGAAGAGAAACCTGTGAGCAAACTCCCAGTGTCTCCCTTGCATTTTGCAAGTACTACATTTTTTTTAAAGATTCCTACCTGCTAAAATAGTGATGTTTCTTAACATGTGCTTAATCCATAATAACTCAATTTTTCTATATTATCTGCTCTGCAAATCTTGACTGACACATGGATGACTTCTCCTTAGGAGGCATAAGTAATAAAGGAGACTGTGTAATTATTCCCCACTGATTATCTTTGGGTACTAATAATGAAATGAATGCTACTGTATCATAGGGAAGTTCAGTAGTGACCAGCCACCAGTGCAGGACCTCTTTGTTGTCTCTGAGTCAATGGCATCCTAAAGTTTGGACAATTAAAATTTTGCATGTAGAGATATGAGACTTTATTCCTTAGTGATAGAGGAAGGGACCTGAGTTTCTTGCTTGAGTAGGCATTTAATCTGTTTGACTTTAGGTTATGAGGCCTGATAACTAAGATTCCAGTGCAGACTGCAGTAGACATTTTAATTTTGCCAAGGTTGTAGCCAGTTCCCAGAGTAGTCATCTTAGTCTCACAAAGCAGGACTTTGTTGTGAAGCAATTGTGTACATTAGCTTCTTGTTGTGATGTTTTATATGCTAAACTGCAGATACAGTGGGGTGTAAAACAATGTGAATGATGCATTAATTTTGAGCAGATTTTTTTTTCCACCTCTGAAAATAAATCCTGTAATTTGAGGGTTTCACTCTTACCACATCTCTGCTTTGCTAAATTGGGTGAAACAGGGATATTGCAAGCACCTGTTTATCAAGTCACAGTTGCTTCATTAGCAGGATGAAACATTGTGAAAGCTGCATGGTTCAGTAGCCTGTATTGGAGTAGCAGTGAGGTGTAGTGTAGTTATTTGTTCAGAATCATTTCATCTCTGTGCAACTAAGTCTGGCTCTTCCATGAAGGGATTAAAATTCTTAACTTTCCCTGTTGTTTTCTTTTCCTCACTCCACAGGTGGTTTTTTGGAAAGATTCCCCGAGCGAAGGCTGAAGAGATGTTAGGTAAACAGAGACACGATGGTGCCTTCCTCATCAGGGAGAGTGAGAGTGCTCCTGGGGATTTCTCCCTCTCAGTCAAGTAAGTAATGCCCAGAAGCAATCGTGTGGTAATCTGCCCATCTACTGCTCATTTGGACTCAATGCTGAGGAGCAGGAATAATCTTCCAGATGCCCTATAGCATTCCTGTTCTTCCAGTGATACTTATTTATTCCCTCTTTAATAGAACAAATATATATGCTCTGGTTTGTAATGAGCCTACAGGGCTGACCTGGTGCCGTGTTGCTGTCTGGCTCGTGTAGTCTCGGGCACTATCTGTTGGTTTGTTTGTGGATCCCATTCCTCTTCCTTACAACCACAAAGTCCCCAGTGTGTACGTGTTCTCACCCATTCTCCTCCGTTCCTCTTCTGCAGTACAAATTATTACTCTATCTTTTCTCTTTGTGTAGTACACTTCCAAATATGTTTTTCATGTCTGCTTGGCACGTACCTTGGGGATGGATATTCATGTTGTCTTGCAGTGGGACATGGAGCTGTGAAAAGAGAGGTCTCCTCCATCTCTCACAATTCCATTCCATGTTGGTAGCAAAACTCACTTTAATAACAGTGAAGTGAGCAGTTCTCATTCTTGAATAACCTTACTAGCAGTACTGGCTGTTAACCAGCAGGAGCTCCTGCTAGTTAGCCATGGCCCACAAATACCATGCTACCTATCTTGCCCATCTGAAGTCACTGGAAAATAAAAGTATTAGAAATTTGAAAGGGTATGTGATGCAATTTAACGTGGGTGGGCGGGTGGGAGGGATTCTGTCTTCAGCAGTTGATTTTTGCTTTTTTCTTTTTGTTTCTGTAATCTTCCCCTTTCCTACCAGCAATTAACAAGATTTTTTTTTTACAATCCTGACACTAATTTTTGATTATTCATGCACGATTCCAGTTTGCTCTATTTTCTGGCTGTCAGTGATCTGTCTCAGCACGACATTTTTTTTTCTGGTCATCGTTGGTCTGTAACCAACAGCAGCACTGAGTTATGCCAACAAACTGGATTAAAGCCAGTGATTTTAAGAGATGTTTATATTTCTGTCTTGGATACAATCATCTGAGCTGGAATACTAGATATGAATGGAAGCTTCATTCCAGAAAGTGCATTCCTTTAAGAAACATAAAGTTATGATAGGATAGCTCTGCCTGCCTGTTAGCTTAGTGTTGCCACCTGGTGGTAACTTCTCAGTTGATTTCCCACCCCCCGTTTCTTCAATTTAGAAAAAGTCTTTTTCCTAAACAGTGATTTGCGGGATTTGAAAAGGTGAGAAGCTCTTGGGTTGAGGAAAGGAGAGCAGAGGCAGTACCCATGAGTTGTTCCATGTTAACTTTGTAGCCAACATAGTGTCGACTTTTTCAGCCAATGTATAGAAGCTGTGCATGCCAAGTGGGGAACAGTTGTCTCCTGTTTGCAGTGGTTTAGACTGAAGGAAAAATACTGATGTGCCATTTGTCTGGAAAATCTCAATGGACCTCTACGGAGTTCCCCTTTGTTCAGAATAAAATTGTTGGAAAAGTAGGTTCAACTGAATGCCATTATTTATCAGAAAAAGTTGTTAACACAGAATTTAAGTTGCCGCATTGCATGTGCAGTGTCACCTTTTGAGCATTTTGGGGTTTTGTGGGGGTTTGGTTTTTTTTTTTTGTTGTTGTTGTTTGTTTGTTTTAAAGGACGAGATTGATCCTTTTGTTTTGCAAGACAGGCTTTTGCATAAGTCCAGACTGGCTGCTGAAAGAGACAGTCCTACCCTCCCTTTGGCAGTGTTTTCTCAGCAATTTACCTATAATGGGACTGTTGCTTATGTATTACAGTACCACACACCCCCAGTGGTGCTGTATGAGGGAGGGACTGAGGCGGTAAGAAGCACAGGACTTAGCCAAAGTAGCACAAACCTAAACTGTCTGAGTCAGTTGTGAAATTGCTGTGTGTAAGAGCTAAACAGAAGCGCTAGTACTGTTTGACTCCAAAATCTTGCATTTGGGAATGTGGAGTGGAAGGTACCATGGTGTAGCTACTTTAATGAGACCTTGCACTAGTACTGCAAAATCCATGGTACATGTCCGAGGTATTCTGTGCGCTGTCTTCAGCAACTCGGGTGACTGCATACATATATCAAAAAGTACATTTACTGGATGCCAGCTATGTGGCAATGTGGTGTAAAAGAAAAAGTTGAAATATTATATGTAGTCCAGGAGCAAGAGTGGTGTGACACCAGAAATCTTTGACCAAAAGACTTCAAACTTCTGCAAATTCAGAGTGGTTTGAAAAGCTGGTTTTAAACTGAAGTCCTGTGATACGAAAAGCATATATGAAGCTTGCATGACTTTTCAAAATAAATTCAGTATTTGGATTCTTTCCCTCTGATTTCTGTAAAATATAATTAACAAGTGGTTTTCAGACATCTTTTTTACAGCATCCAGTTGGTATCTGTATTATCAGTGTCATTTATGGTTTTCACAGAAGGATCTTTTTGTTCCAAACTCTGTGCTGACAATTGCAGATGAAGAGTATTCAGTGACTAATAATGCGCTTTTCTTGTGTTCTTCACTCCTTACTCCCAGGTTTGGAAATGACGTGCAGCACTTCAAGGTGCTTAGAGATGGGGCTGGCAAGTATTTCCTCTGGGTGGTGAAGTTCAATTCTTTGAACGAGCTGGTAGATTATCACAGATCCACATCTGTCTCCAGGAACCAGCAAATATTTCTCCGAGACATTGAACAGGTGCCACAGGTAAGAGAAGTGTCCTCACAGAGTGTTTTTCAGCCTATTTGAAACCACTGTCTGAAGTGCAATTGCATCTTAGAGTAAATGAGTAGAGATGGAGGGAAGCTGCCTGATGTTTTTGTTTTTCTGTGGAAGCATATCTTTAGATCCTGCATCCAGAATTGTACTGGGAAGTAAGCTGGATGTTTGTGCAAAGCCTACCTGCTAACTCTTGTCTCCCCTTCAGTTCTGGCAAAGTGTTATTGTTGCTGCTTGAACACTTGGTTTGTCTTAATGTTTATGGATACTGTTGCAGGATGGTCATCTGATTCCTGTAATTTAAAAATGGGTTTACTCCTGGTTTAGGACATAGTAAGAAAGTTCTACTTGTACTGGTTCATAGCCAGAACCGTACCGCTCTGGAGCCAGTGAAGCTTTGCTACTGGGTTTCCTGAAGAGATGCTTACAGGTAGTAGCATATGGAACATCTCTAGCCTGCTGGTTTGGATCTAGCCAGTGTTAAGAGAAACCAAAACCTACTGCTAAGTGCCAGCAGAGCAGCTTGAGTATATCTAGCTCTTTGGTTTTTTATCAGGGCAATCAAAATGTTATGTTGCATGTAACTGGATCTTTTGTCAATTTTGGATAAATCCTTTTGCCTCTGTGTGCAGCACTGTAGTTCTAGCTCGAAGACAAGGGGTGTGGAGCTCGTACTGCTCTCCGGGTCCCACGGTCACCCTTTGCCAGTTTGTCTGAATTAACACCTGGCTCTGCGCTGTTGGGTCAGTGATAAACAGAGGATGAGAAAACAGCTGGCTGAAAATGACAAGTGCGAAGTTGATACTGGAGAGTTTTAAGGAAAATGTGTAAAATGCCAACATCCAGATTTTAGGGGGAACTTTACTAATCTACCTAACACTGTGATACACAGTGTTCATGCTCTCGGTGAAAACAGGATGAATAAGCAAAAAGACCAATGTATTGCAATAGAGTACAGAATTACAGTAGCTTGTGAAGACTGAAAAATCCTAGGAAAACATCCGAGTCCTCTGCTATCTTTGTTTCATCTCTTTCACAGAAACTTAAGGTTCTTCTAAAGTCTTCTATTGACTATGCTTTCCTATTCAAGCATCTTGTTACAGATGTTGGAAGCTGGCTTGCAGGGAAATGAAACAGCCCAAATGTTTATTGTTAAACGCCGGTGTAAGTTAAGCTCTTGCCTGAGGAAGCAGGTGTCTCGAGTGTTGTGGATGATTCTCACTTTGTGTGTCTTTTTCTTTCCCCTTTCAGCAACCAACATACGTTCAGGCCCTGTTTGATTTTGATCCCCAGGAGGAAGGAGAGCTGGGCTTCCGCCGTGGAGACTTTATCCAAGTCCTTGACAATTCTGACCCCAACTGGTGGAAGGGAGCCTGCCACGGACAGACGGGCATGTTTCCACGCAACTATGTGACCCCAGTGAACCGGAACATCTAGAGATAAATATTAGAGATTATTTAAAGAAACCAGAGAAACAGTAAATACACATACAGAGCCTAACTGCAGCCAGTGACCTAAAAATCACACGGCGATAAAACCTGAGTCACCTTTCACCGTGAGGTGACCCTCCTTCACTCAGTACGGAACTTGAGGGTTGGCGGGGGGGA